CGCATTGCGGTTTCTCTTATTATTGATGATTGTTCGACAGTTTTTGGCTAATATAATATGAGAGAATTGATCTTGAGCAAGAACGTGAGCAATCCCGCGGTTAAGCGGCGTGTTCTAAATTGTTATTGCCGTCGGGCACAGGAAAAAGCCACTCGCAAACGCTATTTACGGCCACCGTAAATCAAGCGGCGCCGAAGAGCGCGTGGCTGCCGCGACGCAACGTAGCTAAAGGCGTGAAATATATTCAGTGTAGTTCGTTCGATCCATCGAGGCCCTCCTTCGCGTCCGCATATTTATTCAACGAGCCTCAGCATTAGAATCGTGCTTTTGAACTTCGAGGAGGAACTCTCGAGATTCCAGGATCGAAATCGCTAAGCGATTCTAATCTGGTCGATCGGAATTAAAGATGGAATGTCGAGGCGAGGTTGAATTTCATTACAAAACAATTATAATAAATTTATAGAATTGTATTGATTGGAAATATTAAAAATTATATTATTAATAAAATATCGAAGAGATTATATTAAAAATATTGAAAAAAATGTTGATGGAATTTATGTCAAATATATTTAAATAGAATAATATTATTTAATATAAGGCATTATATCTATGTCATTATGATAATGGACCTTCTGTTGCGCGTCGCGAGTACACCCGGTATGTTTCGCCGAAATTCCGCGGCTACGAGTTTCCTCGCGCACCTCGCCGGACCACATTCCGCTCTTTGTGTCTCTCTTTTCCCGCAGATGGAATGCCAGGCTTCTTTCTTCGCGACCGATGCTTTGCGGTCGATACTGATTTATGACGGTCGAGTTAAGCGATTTCCGCGCAAGGATATCCTGACAAAGTGACTCCGGTTGATTATCCGTATCTCCCGAAGAAAGAGAGATGGAAATAAGAAAGTGTATGCGGTTTTTAATGCGTTCGCTGTTGTAATGCATTATCTGGAAAATTTGTGAAAAGGTTGTGACTTATCTGATTTGGCGAAACAGCTGATTGTCAGTTTCATCAGACGTCACGTTACAATATTCGTAAACCGTTTCTTTTTGTCTTGCTTTATTTGTCTATAGAAAATATAATTATTTATATGAAAATCAACTTAATCGAATTTTTAAATTTTTTAGTTACGAATTGGAAATAATAAAATTTCACATTTCTTTAAATCATAAATCAGTCAAAGACTGTCAGCAGATCATGTCTTTTCATTAAAAAACACATAATCAGTATTGTAATTTTATTTTTTCTAAACTTGTTTCCTTATCAGTGTATGCTAAAGAATTATTTATTTTAAACAACGTAGACCTTTTTTTGTCTTTTCTTTTAATTTGTCGAATATAAAGATAAATTTTATCCCATTCTTCAGAATTCTAATAAAAAATGAATGATAATATGAATATGAACGATATTAATTAATGTAACAAATGAGAATATCCATAATTTGTGAAGCTATTCAAGTGTCGCATGTTTCGCATTTATCAATGAAAGGAGACGTGGAAAAGCGACAAGTTGCTTGATAATTCTTCCCCTAAAACTGCGCCCTCGTAAACTTTCTACCACAAGTGGCTCGCTGCAAAGCACTTCAACAGATGCACTGTCAGTCAGAAAGATAGGGAAAGAGATGAGCTTCTTACATAACGTCGCAGCGACGATGATGACAAGAAGCATCGTCTCTTTGCCATCGTCGTTCTGAGAAATGAATATTATCGTTGTTCCACTTGTGCTGTCTGTAATTCTCGTCTTAATCGAGATCGAAAAATCTATTGTTTTAGCAAAATATAAACTTCCTGGAATTTCAACATTAATTAGAATGTTTTTTTTTTCATTTTTCAACGTTATCGTCTTTCATTTTAATTTTCTTCAAATGCACGCGTGAAATTTTATTAATTCCACATATACTTCGAACTCTGAATCTATCGTGTTTTATACACACAAACATATCTAATGAAGAAACTTTAATTTTATTTTATCCATAATTTTTTATCCATTTTATTTTATTTAAAAACATTTATCAATTTAAAATTTTGTCTATTTTATTTTATCTATAATTTTATCTATTTATCTCTTACAGAATCTTTTACTTCCCACTTATAACAAGATTTTATTCTAGCCATCTATTTAACCTTTTTTCAATTAAATTGGCTTTTCGATTTTATTGTTTTCCGTCTATCTACAATCAAAACATTCTATCGTTCACATCCCTTTCCAATATTCCAAAGCTTGTTATGAACGAAAGGTAAGATAGAGGTGAGAAAGCAAATTCGCAAACTCGTACCATTTAAATCTCCAGTTTTGCTCGTGTCACTTTAACTCGCCGGCGCTCACGTGCGCGGCGGCGGCGCGATGTTGCCGCGCGTCACGTGACCGCGGGTCACGTGACCCGTCCGTCGCGTCGCACGGGTGGCAACCGCACGCTGCTTCAGTGCGAGCGCGACCGGCGCGCGCGATGTACGTCGATTGTGGGGTGGTGTCGTTGCTCCTCCCGCCAGCGGTCGTCGCCGGTACGCGACGTACTATCCGTTCGCGCGACTTCGGCTCCCTCACCGATCCGCCATAACAACGACGCGCGGTCCGTTTTGTCCTCGGAGCCTTCTCTCCTCTTCTCCTCGATCGTCGTCGATCTCACGTCGCCACGGACTACGTGCCAGACTACGAGGCGGACGGACGCCGGCGAGCGTCAGCTGGGTGGGCAATTTTTTCTCTCCTCGCTTTTTCGACGCGGGAGGATCAGAGAGGTCCGAGTTCTCTCTGATGCTCCCGAATTTAAATTATGAATGTTTAAGAATGTTTGGGAGGAGAGGGAATGGCCGATCCCGATCAGGGATATCCTGGAATAACCAGGGATAGCCATGCGTTGTATTATCGAAGAGAGATGGATCTTTTTCGTTTCTATTTCGCTCGATAATAGTCTACATGTCAGCTGTCTTTGTCCGGGAAAAGCATATTTAAGTCGCCCGCATGTACAAAGATACACGGATTCCATGCGTGTAGCTTCCGGTTTCCGCATAAACTGAGAACTAACCTAACCTGACACTTTATTAAACCTGTCAGTCGAGGTTTTAATTTACCCTGTACTTATTCAGTTTATTAATTTATTTTTTTTCACTAGTTTAAATTCATTATAATATATATGTGTATTAATACAAAGAAAGAGAGAGGGAAATGATAGATCTTTTTAGATTTGATTTATATACTTTGATGTTTATATCTGAGATATTTTAACTCGCTTGATCGGAAAGACTCAAGACTCTTGAAGATGTTTTTTTTGGAGTATGTATTCTCTGGTATTCTTTTGTTTGCAATTCATACTTAATTCTTATCTCTCAGCACCGAGTATTTATAGTTATCTTTTCTTTTACTTTTTAATAAATGCAAATTAAAAACTTATGAGGTAATATTTCATACACATATGTACAATAGTTAAATATATTTTTTTAATTATATAACAAAAATTATAATATAATTATGTGATATTATATAACAATTATATAATTATTATATAACAGAAATAATACAGTAATGTATGATAAATAACGTAACATTTTTGAAGCTTTAAAGGGGATTAAACCGATGTTGTTGAATCGGGTTTCTCTTCTGAATCGAAAGAAAATCGCGACGCGATTCTAAACATTGCTCGAAAGATGCCGGATATTGCGCCTCTCGCGTACACACGCGTATTGCACGCGCCCACGCCTATGCAAATCCCGCGGAATTATCGAAAGAGTGCATGCATGGAATGCAACGTATCGCCCATCCACGCACGTCTCGCGATAGTTGCACTTGTCCCGATTATATAGTTGCTGCATCCAAGACGCGAAACGAGCTCGAATGCAACGCAACAATACTGTGGGGTATTTTGACTAATTACACATTTGACTAATTACACATTATTACATGTTGCATGAAGTATTACGTGTCTCACAAATAATTAAAGTGGCAATTATTGAGTAATAATTAAAGTTAATGAAATGAAAACATTGCATTTAGTTGATGAAAACATTGCAATAATATTGTCAAGTGTGTCTGCAAATCAACACTCGGACGAAATTTATTCTCTTTGAATTGTCGTGCATTATAGGAATATTGAAACATTTCGACGATTGCATTATATGCAACGTAAAGTTACTTATGTAATATGTAACTGCGTATAAATGATGTAACAACAAAGCGCAAGTATGTCGCAAAGAAAGGAAAGAATGTTTCAAGATGATTATTCGATAAAATCAATATTTTTTTTATCGATCTCCTTTAATAATATAAAATATCCTAAGATTACACATTTAACTTGGATCACGAAGAAGACAGTAAAAAAATAATATATGAAATACTAACTAGTTTTGCAAGCATATTACATTCAGACTTGATTTGCATAGTTTCAGATAATAATTATCCGCGAAGAGGAACCTTCTAATGAGAGAGATCGTTCTAGAATCGCGTTCCAAGATTATATTCGCGTATATACAAGCTATTACACAATTATCGGACGAGTTTAATCGAACATCCAGCGTTTATGTCGACCTCGAGCGGCCTCGAGCATATCCGATAGCATTTCCACCAGCGAGCTTGATTTCCCGCTGCTGGAGAGAGACTGGGAATCGCGAGACTAGAAAGCTTGATCACCTTAGAAGAATATCGAGTGTTCGGATAGATCCGGGTTCGATCGCGCGTTTTTATTAGTGACCGCGTGGGAGCTCGCTCTCCATATGTCTCTCGTTTAAGCAAACGCATAGTTGCAACGCGTAGTTCCTGTCAACGCGATCAACTGTCTCACCTTCTATCTTGCCAAAGTCGCGCTGCCAATCGCTTCTCAGGATTTATTATTAGGGCCTTGCAATCAAGATACATCAGGCTTTGATTTGATTAGCGCGCAATTAAAACACATGTGCACACGTTTGTCGACATATATTTGTGTTACAAATAAAGGGATGGACATATATCTTTTTATTACGCAATTAATATATGCGTAAATATCTCGATTAACGATGCCGATACGCCTGTTGCAGATGTCGGAGTTTCCAGTGGACGGAAGCGAGAACGGGGACATGCATACCGTCATGGAGAACTTCCAAAAGAAGAACAATCTGGTGACGGGCAGGACGCACCACGTCACCCATCATCCGCAGGTCACCACCACATCGTCGCAGGTGATTATTTCTTGCTTTTCCTTTCCCGCTTTACTTGTTTCTCAAATATTTGCCCATATATTTCGAGACATCGTGATTCTTTAGAAAGAAGAAGAGATATCGTCATCCGCTCGCATATCTTCGCAAGAATCGTTTGCGTTTCGAGTATTTTTTGCTGATTAACAAGCGCGAGAGATATGATTTTTATTCAAAATGGTTTCAAGAAAATTCACTATTTAAATTTTAAATCCTTAAAGACTATTTTTCTTTCTATAAAAGAAAATAGAATGCTATTTTTGCGGTTTTTACGACTATTCGAAATGAGATTTTAGTTAGATAATTTATTTCGATCAAATATATTAAAATAATTTTTAATTAGTTTTATTAAAATATATTTAAGTAATTTTATTTAATTTTTAATTAATAACATAATCATATTAAATATTCATAAATATAGCATAATAATATTAAATATTCTCTGAAAATCTTGTAGCTTGGAAAACAAAATAATAATTCTATAAAAGAAAAATTAATTATACAATAAGAGATAGATAGATAAAGAAAAATTGAGAGAGAGGTAAAAAGAGATACGCTTTAATAATAAATTTCGAACCTAAATCATCAATCGCACTTTAGTACTTTTGTATTTCTTCTTTTATCTCTTATTATTCTTTTTCTCTTATTAAATTCAGTCATACACAAGCTACTGAATTGTATTAAATTATTAATTCTGAAGGAAAGAGGAGCGACCAAATGTAATTTTTTGTATGATATTTTCGAATCGAATGTAAGTCGGAGACTTACTCATATTCTTCTGCACACTTCGCACAGGTTTGTGCATATTTAGCAGAAACAAGTCGCGCCGTGCAATATTTATTTGGCCTCACTGTTTCGAGGAAACATGATCGTTGCCTTTTTCGAGACTATTTCTTCTAATCCAACGATTACACGGGAGGATTACACGGTCTTTAATCTCTGCGTTAGCTAGAAACGGCTGTCAAAGTGTCGCGCCGTCTTTGACGCCCACGTCTGAGACGAATTTCCTGAAAGTGTGTACAAGGAAATTTCGAATTATTCATCTATTATGAGTCTATCTCGACAATCTGCTAAAAGCGCCAAAAATAATAATCGTCGTCATCGCTCGTTTAAATCGCTTCTAACAATGCTTTCCCTCTTTCCCCCTATTTTCGTTTATTATTTTATTTTCCAAGCTATAAGATTTTATAGAATATTTAATATTATTACGTTATTAAAAATTAATAATAAAATTAATTTAATTTAATTTAATTAAAAATAAAAAATAAAACTACTTAAATATATACTACTAAATCTAATTAAAAATTATTTTATTCCAATTGAAATAAATTTATAAGTATAGTTTATTTAGTATATTTTAGATTTGATTTCGAAAATTACAAACACTGCAGAAATAGCACTCTATATTCTGCTAAATATAGTATGTATAAATACGAAATCTCGCAAAAATTCAAATTCAATTCATCGTTTCTATGAAATGTCAACGACATTACATTAAACGTTATTTTACGAGCAAAATCACTTGTCGGTCCATCTCCGACTGATCATCACGTAATTAGAAATCACGATCCTTCGACGAATGATTGTAGGCATTTACGCAATATGGTCGCCCACATACATTTTTTTGTGCCATTAAAGATTAATTCCACGTAATCTCTCGGTGAATCTTGATGCTATGTTTCAAGGTCCCTTCTCTCGATGTTTTCTCACTTTTGAGAGAACATTGCCTCTTTCTAAATTTATCGGGCCCTTTTCGTTTCCAGGCGTCTTAGCCGAGTTATCTTGTGTCTCATAATGACTGCTGGCCGACCGCCATTGCTAATATTACTCTCTTATGCACAAATATTGTTTACATTTTTCCTTTTGAACTTTTCTAGAAGGATTATTTCTTCAAAATATTTATTAAATTTGTATGGCACAATTTAACTTTGCAAAATATTAGATCTGTATAAAAAATTTATTATCATGATTGTCAAACGGAATTGAAAATAAAATATTTACACGAAAAAATTTTCAAATAAATTTGTATTAGTAGTTTTTATATGATAAAAAGATTGTTTTAAAGGAATGTATGCTAGTAAATTTTATTTAAACGGATAAATGTGATAAATTTCATATTTAATAATATTATATTAATAATATTACATAATATATAAATAATATTGTGATAAATTTTTTATTGCTAATTATATCAAATTATTATTATATAATTTTAAGCGATAATTAGGAATTTTTTCTCATGTCAGAAATATATAAAAAGATGTTTTTTTGTATGTTTATTATTTTAAAATAGTATACATTTAAAATAAATACATTTTAATATTAATTAATAAATACTTTAAGTATCGATTTTTTTAATTCAAATTAAAAAATTTATTTTACAATCATCAATTTAGAAAGTAGAAAAGAAGATATAATTACTATGGAAGGGGTAATCAATAAAATATATATATTGTAGTGAATATTATGATTATATGTATTCATTATATGCTATATTTTCATATTAGATTGATCGAGAAATTCAGAGAACTTTGGCGAATAAATTATATATTATTATACATTTAAAATGAGAAAGAGATTTTGAGATAGAGATAAAAGAGAGGGGCAAAACGAATGAGTCATGTTGGATCTTAAATAGAACGAAAACGGCTTTTGACTCGACAGATGCTGACGACAAACCAGAGCCAACGCCAGAGTAGCAGCACCAGTACCAGCAGTAGTAGCAGCAGCAGGGTCAAGTCCTCGCAGAGGATCCTCTCCACCTCGTCCTCGTCGAGTGAGATGAAAGCGAGCTCCATGAAGAGCGATCTGACGGAACTCAAGCGCGGCATTTCGGAGATGAAGAACATGTCGACCAACTTTTCGCAACGGCTGCGAAGCAGTATGGAGAACCTCGTGGACAGGTTGGTTCATTCTCGAGTCGATCAACAACTTTCGAAATTAAATCTAACTTGTAAATTAAAAGTGACTCTTCGGATCGTTGAGAAGAAATTTAGTGTTTTGAAACTTGGTGTTTAATAAAAATGTTTTGAACGAGTGTGTTTATAAGGGATACATCACGTGTCACGTTGAATGTTTCGCGAAAATAATTGTGATTTCGCGTGCTTTTCTCATACGTAATTTCTCATAAGTAATTGATATTTTTAGAAACATCTTTAAGTTTGCCAACGTGACAAATCTAATACTCATCGTCGTGATATTTGGCTATTTTTGCGTGCAGCTATTTTCAAAATTTCTATTATTTATATTTATTTATATACAATTATACATACTATTGTATAATATATTTTTTTTAATCTAATGCCTAAATATAACTATTATTTCGACATTTAGCTTTACAATACTTAGCTTTTTTACAATATTTGGTTAGTTTTAAATATTAAATAAAATGAAATTTTTATTAGATCGAAAAATAAAAACAATAACGTTCAAATATTCTGTTGCTAAAGATTTGTCGATCTCATTATCAGTATAAAAATTAAAAGAACATTAAAATAAAAATTCAAAGAATTTTAGCTGGCAGTAATAATTCGAAAAATATTTGACTTCATCTTCTGTCGAAACATCAGAGGTTTCTCGCCTTCAACTTCTCCAGTTACTAAAAATTTAGTGATTCATTTCCTTCGATATATATAAAGGTTCGGACATGCGTTTAAGTTTCATAACGAAAATTTTCGCAATTGAAAGCTCTGAAACGCGTCAACGGAATATTTGTATACGTATAATTCCGATTTGCGTGTTATTTTCGAAACGGTCAGATTATTTTTAACACATTGCTCACGTGTCATTTTACATCGGAATGCGAGATAATCTTTCATTATTGATGTGTGTTGAGTTGATTATATCACGTAGCGAAAGATAAATAAAAAGAGAACATTGTATATAAATTTAATCTGCATAAAAGTAGCCTTAAAATGTTTTATCTGCTCACTGTGTATTTTTCCAATCAATAGTAACATACTATATGTTTGAACATATTATCATTCCCGTAAACTGGTTTATTATCAATGATATAAACGTAAAGGTGATAATTTTGCTTGAAAATATCGAGTTAAAATTAGCTTCGACGAACTGTTTTATTTATAATATTAATTTTTTGAAATTGGAAAAAATAAATGTCTCTTATTGTTTAAATTTGAAATATGTATATGTCATTTAAAAAAAATGTCTCTTTAAAATATTTAATTTTTTCAATATTGCCTTAATTTTTGCTATGCACATTTTTCTAAAAAATTCTCGTCTTATAAATTTATACGTCATTTTTTATCTTGCTCAATTTTTACTTCTCGTTTCGATGACGAATCCTTTTTTATGTTTATTTCATAGAGATGGCAATGGACCGGAAGAAACCAATCTCACGGAACCGTTGGTGACTTTTCCGGATCCGGATACGCCGCCACCTGTCAGCGACGCTGTCACTTTGACGGGCGGTTCTCCATCCCAGTTGAGTTCTCTGAATTCCCTGAACAATCTTCATCATGGTATAAATCAGCCGATAAACATACCTAATATAGCAAATCTACCTGCTGGTCAAGAAACTATGAAGTTTGAACAGAAGAAAATGACCAGCGCCTCTAAAACAAAGGTAAGCGTTTTCTTATCTCATATTATCTTTTGATTTTTTTTAATATTAATAAAAGATTCAATATTCTATATTTATTATTTATAATTAAACTTTATATTCATTATTAATTGAAAAATAATTAATATATAAAACATTAACAGTTAAATACAATAGTAAAATTATGGAAATTAAAAATTGCAGTAGTATTAATGAAAAATCTTGTCAGCAAGATTTATAAAAAATTTCGTCCAGAATTTGATTAGAGATTTGATTCAAAATAAAATAATAAGATACGAAAAACAGAAGTAATAAATTAGAATTAAGAACAAAATTATATGTATATTTATCTATCAACATATCGAATTAATCTCATAAAATTAAAATTAAAACTGAAGAATTTATCTCACGTACGTCATCAATACATGGATTCGTCGAGCTATTCGGCTGTTCCCTGAAAATACATATTTGATAAGAATTGTGCGGATGATTCAGCTCTTGAATTTGTCTCGAATGAAGTTTGCTTGATAGACGTTACAAACATCAACGATAACGTTTAGAGCGGATGTTTAATGGCTGAGGTGCGGCTTCCTCCGGCTAGTCTAGGTCAAGGATTGCGTCCATCTCCGAAAGTGTCGCATTTTAATATTGCATCTAAAGTAGATAATAATCTCAGATTTGATTAATTCGCTTGGTTTTACTCTTCCCTCATGCTTAATCATCTGTTTCCATCAGGTTGTCACGGATGGATTTAGCGCCGAGAAGGCGACGGCCAACAGCGCCGAGATGAGGGCTTTGCAAGCTGGCGACGTCTCGTACAAGGAGCAGAGCGCCGCGACGGCGGCGAGAGCGCGTGTCGAGCTCGATGGCGTCTCGGCAGAGAAGAGTGTCGCTGCCGCGAGGGTGAGTTTTTACTTCTTAATGAATGAACGAAGAGATGCCAGACTGTGAACAATCATTGCGAGAAATTTGCTTTCGATTTTTAACAAAATCCTAGCAGTTGCATTTATATTAAATTTATATTTATTCAATTTTTATTATTTATATTCAACTTTTATTTGATTTATCCACGTATTTTTATTAATTTTTTATTTTACACGTACATTTGCAGTTTCTCCTTTATATGAAATAAAATGAAAATTGAATATAAATAATAAAAACTGAATAAATAAAATAAATAAATAGATAAATGAAAGGAAAAGTATCGATATCAATATAAAGTGGACGTATTCCCGAACAAGTCGCGTGAAATCAAAATTTTTACGCTCTTATTATTTCCGGTTTGGCGTAAAAGATACAGATGCGAGAGTATTTACGAGAGTATTTCAATATTTTTCATAATTAAGAAGGTTTATAAAGAGAGACACGTTCGTATACAATACATGGTAGCCTGAATGAAAAATCGTAGGTGGACAAAGGAGGCTCTTTCAAGGTTTCCTCGTCCGTTCAGGCTCTGGCTCTTTCTCTCTAAGCCTGACCTTTCTTGTTTAAGCGACAAAAGGATCGAGAGGAAGACTCTCCGTGGGTGCGGCCGCGTGCGGCGAATAATTTGGCACGGAAACCTAGCGCGGATAAGGCGCTGTTGCGGGGGTCGTTGACATGCGCGTGCGTTCCGTTTTCCTCAACAACGGTGTTGTTCCGACGCGTTGCACTCGATGAAGTGCGAAGCTGCGCATCGTGAATGAGATCTTTCGGTTTTGATCCTATGATTTGCGAAAGAATCAATGTTGATTTTTAACGAGTGTTTTTTTTAATTTATATAATTTATAAAAATATAAAAATAATAAAATATTTATTTATCTAAAATTATTTAAAGCTTAATATTAATCGTGTTTTGTGATAAAATTAAAATTGATAAAATTAAAATATAGAATTTACAATTTAGTCAAAGTCTTAATATTCGTTGAAATAATTCTTGAATTCTTGCATTTCTAATAATTCTGATAATATTATTTTATTTGATATTTTTTTAGATAGAAGAGAGACTCAATTAAATGTCAAAAATATTAATATAAAATAATATAATTAATATAATTATTATAAAAATATTAATATTAATTAATTTAATTGAGATTCTTTCCTACTTCAAAAATGTTGAATAATATTATTAATTATAAATGTTGACTAATATTATTATTAATTATATTATCTAAATACTAAGCGTAATTGATTAATAAAAATTAATTAAATACATAAATCTTTTATATAAAAACGTAAAAAATTCGCAAATAAAAAGAAACGCTACATCATCTGAGTAATTTAATATGTCCGAGCTAGAGAGGAAGAGCGATTACATTAAATATATTTAAATATATTTGAATATAATGATAAGAAGGTAAATATAACGTAAAATTTATCTAACATAAGTCAGATTTGTCTGAAATATATTCAAAAATTCAATGTTTTTGTTAAGTAACGTTAAATAAGCCAAGCTGCTGTTTCTTATGCGTACATATGTGTATCTGATAACGACCGTAATCTCGACCTTGACTATTAGCCAAGGCGATGATTTCGCAAAAAGTACCACGAGATACAAGCGAACACAAGCGGTTAGTTCGAATACTCCCGTATAATCGTGAGACGCCGTGTCGTTCGACACGAGGAGTCAGTTTGGCTCGTGTTCAAAAATGTGCACGCTGCTGACTCAAAAGCCACGTAGTAGCCGACCTAGCTGAATTCGTCTAAATTTAGATTACGACACGCCGCCAGGAGTAAATAATCGCGAAACGTAAGCTTCGTCAACGCGATCCGGGTCACCCGGTAGAATCGAGCCGTCACGAACTTTCGATACGATTCACCCTGGTATCTAATTTTTCTCCCTATAAATAAAAAGTGGAAAATAAAAGGAAAGAATCGTACATTTATGAGAAAAAATATAAAATAATTTGATAGCAATTTTATATTTTTTCTCATAAATAACTATTTTATAAAATTTATAGAAATTAAAATATATAATAATATATATATAAAAATATATATTTTTATAAAATATGCACTTTACAAAGATATTTTAAATCATTATAATTTTAATCTATTATTTTATTAATCTAAAAAAAATTTTATTATTTTATTTATCTAAAAAAAATGGAAATTATATATTTTTTTTACATATTTTCACTTTGCACGAAAAATGATTAAATCTTCAAATCAAATACTTCTCATTATTTGAATTTTGATTCTACACATTATTGTAATAATAAAAATGTTATCTTTCTTTAAACATTAAATCTTTGAAATGTCACAATATTTTAATGTAGCCACAAAAAGGGAAGAATAATTAATTTTCCAGACGTTTGCGTTGATAGCGCTTTCGCGTGAGTCGCGTAGGTAGATTCAGCCGGCAACAAAAAAGCTCGATTAGCTCGAAAGGAAGATAAATCATCTTTCATGGGAAAGAGATGCGTGCTCGTCTCGAAAACCGCGGACGATTGCGTGCCATTTCGTCCGTGGGTGTGTTCGGTCCATTATTTTTTTTCCTTTTTTTTCATTCTATCGTGCTATCCGTGCTATCCTTGACCCCACGTGTCGACCTTGCAACATTCGTGTCGAACTTTGTTCTTAACGCAATGCAATTTCATCATAAATTTATTTTTTTTTTTCAATCCGACGAAAATACGCGGAATTTTAAGCAACGATAGCGCAAGTGTGCCTCATGCGAGTTGAAATGATCTAATTAATTCGATTATTATCGCGCATAGCGGATTAAAATAAGATATTCTGTATACATCTGATAAATGAACATTCGATTGTATTTATCTTTATTCGCGACTTGCAAGCTTTTCCAAGAGATGTCGCCAGATTTAGCTTAAAGAACAATATTCTTCGATGTTATCTCATTGTTACAATGCGAACAGATTTATATCATTGATACAAAATATTACAATTAATAGTTTTTTTCGTATTTAGTAATATTTTTTAATAGTTTTTTAGACTTTAAAATAATTTTTTTATTTAATACTCTCTAATTTAATTTTAATTTTTATTTAATATATGTTTCTTTTTTTCTCTTTGTATTTTTGTAATATTACATGAAATGTAAATATCTTTCTCTTTCTTTCTTTTCTACATATTATTCAAAATATTGAAAATTACACGATAACATGCGATTCGGAAAAAACGCAATATGGAAGAATTTTTATTTAGTACAACATGAATAATTTACGGAACGATAAAATCCGATACATAATTTTTTGTAAAATTTACACGCAGTTTTGATTTAAAATAGTCTATTTAATATTTGAATAAGACTAATGAAAACAATAGTTATTTTATAATATTTATTTTACTAAAAATTTCATGTTACATTTTAAAATAAACACACTATTTATTTTATATAATTATTATTTTAATTAAATTATATAATTATTACTGTAATAATTGAAAGAAAATATCATATATTCTGAAACAGAAAAAACCCTTAAAATATTAAAAATTCTTTTTTCTTTTTATAAATATTAGGAATTTTTTTTTCAATCGAAAGCAAAAATCATTGAGATAAAAATCCATCGAGAAATATTGAAAAATCTTTTTGTTTCGCATAAGAAAAATTCCAACTGCTTTGCTAAAGTCGATGCGAGTACTATCCGCTTTCTTCTATCTTCTTGTTTTCCTACTTTTGCGAAAACATCACCCTCGTTTCCATGGCAAAGGGGTGGTAGTCACGGGTATGGCCGAGAATGCGAAAGTAAACCGCTGCGGGTCGATAATTCGCAATCCCCGCGGAGGAGCAGTTCGTTCGTGACGTTCCTCGTTGACGGTCGTTCGGTCAATCGGTCGATTCGTTGGTTGCATGTCGACTTTGAATGGGACAGCGACTGTCGAGGCTGCTGGCGCGGGACCTTTGCCCAGGTCCGAAGTCCCGCAGCGATACGATAGTCCTACTCCCTCGTACTCGAATCCTGACTAACACCTCGCAAATGGTACGACAATCCTGGCTATTAAAATCAAGCGTTTCTTTAATCGAATTTGAAGGAGGGTGCAAAACTACAGCGGACAATTCTCTGCATCATTCTTTCTTTTCTTATATAATTGCCGGACAATTTTTGTCTCACGAATCAAAAGAATATGAAAATGTCCATTATTGTTGTTGCACATCAACCTGACAACGCGCTTAAAAATTTAAACAGTAGCTTAAGCAAGTACTCCGACTTCTGAGACACGATCCACACTTTGAGAAGGTGAGGGTTATTAAAATAGAATCGTGTTTTGTCAACGACACCTGAGTTGTTGTTCATTCAACGCCGCGAATGTGACATCATCGTTCAGATTTCGGTGAGAAATTAGAAGACGTGCCAGAAGACGACGCTGAGGATGATTACGAATACTACTAGGTGTCACCGATATCTCCGCCACGCGGAAATAGAGCGAGTATTCTCAGTCAGATTACCAGCTGACTGCAATGTCACGGTTTCAAGGACACGAGGGTCGCTACAGGCAGACGAAGGTTACCGTGAATTTCCCCGAGGTACAGAGGCCATTATCGAATCGACCAATGAGAGCCACAGTGATAAAAGCTCAATGAAAATTTGATAAAACGCTCGGCGACATCTTGGCGGAAATTACCGCAAGATTACAATTTATAAACAGCTTTTTCTTCTTTCGTGCAAATTCAATCGAATTTATGAGGCTGTGGAGATCATTTGGAAGAACAAAGCGTCTTACAACGGGAAGCTTTGCTTGTTATAATTGTTTGATTAACGTGAAATCATTCTCTTTAATTAATAATAATTTTTGTGTTTTTTTGTACATGGCTATTATAATCATACGTAATATAATTATTACGAGGTTGAAACTGAAAGCACAAATTGAATCAATAAAGAAATTTATACAGGGGAGAAGAGGTTAATTTTATTCTAATCGAGAGTCTGTAATCCCTTCAACATTCATATATAAATCATCAATGTGATAGGGTGCAGCTGTGAGCGAATAATGCATCAGTGGCTGTCTGTCAGTGTTTAACGTTGTCGGTCGTCCGTAGAATACGAATCGAGACGAACGACGAGTCATTCGCGATTCGAGAGAATCTGCTCGTGGACTATTTCTAGACTAGGCGAAAAATAGCAACGACACGATGCAACGTTGAGACCTCTTTTAAAAAGCCGCACCGATTACGCGATCGATGTGCGAAATGCATTTCTCTCTCTGTCTCTGATTCATAGTGGCGTACACATAGTGGGCGTAACGAAATTAAATTCTCTCGCGGGGTAGTGAATCGAGCTTAAACACAGTTCAGATTAGTTTGCGCCGCGCTGCCATTACGTTCGCGACCGCAGTGATTTATTGTTACCGCATTCTTTGTGTTGTACAATTAGTAACGCCAAATAGTGGCGATTCTTGATTTTTCATCTGTAAATATTTTGACGAATGTGTGTGACTCGTAATTATTTAATTAAATAATAATTTAATTAAATAAATAATTTAATTAAATAAATAATTTAATTTAATTAAACATAATTTAATTTAATTTAATTATAAATAATATTAATTATTTAATTAAAAAATAATCTAGCTTGGAATAATTAAGAAAAGTACCTTGCAAGATCTCTATTGAATTAATTTATTTCATTGGAATTATAATTAAATAAAAGAAATTTGATTAAAATTAATTTGAGATACTCTTACATTGGTTAATAAAAAAATAATTTGATAATTGTGCTCTATTTTTCAGATTTTTCTTTAATAAAAATTTCTTTAATAAAAAATAATGAATTATCTTCTGTGAAAGAAAATATTTATTTCGAGCAATGCAATTTGTTTAAATAAAAAGGGATAATTGTCGTCAAATATTCATTTTTATTTTCCATATTAAAAGAGTGATGTGAATCTCAATTAAAATATGAGTGCACCGTGGCCGATACATCGTGGAATATTGCATCGAAAACAATTCGAACGATCGCGAGTGGTGAGTCCGAGGAAATGTTTCATATTCTTTTTTGACATCTAGTAATTTCCTCGGTAAATTACTATGAATCGTAACGAACGGGCAATTCTTAACATGAAGCATTTTGATGTAACATTTTGAGAAACGTATATGAGACAACGTTCTACTGACGTAAATGCCTTTGAAAAATATTCGATGATCGTTAAAAATATTCCGTTCATATTCGAAAAACCGCATATTTAAAATTGAAGATTTGTTTATACAAAGAATTTTCAAAATATCACATGCGATCGCCTAAAAATAAAACAAAGCAGACCTCGTGTAAATGAATATATTCGTTACTTTTGTAAATAAAATGTCGAAAGTCGACGAGAAAATTTTTCACGAGAGTATAAAAAGAGAACACGCAACATTGAATTATTATAAAAAATAAAAAATATATATTATTAAAATATATATTAAATATTAAATATTATATATTAAAATATAGTATATTAAAATGTTTAAATTTAAAAAAATGATCATATTATTCAATGCTAGAAAATAGTCATTGCTCAAAACCGCAATAAATACACTCGATTAATTCGAGGATGACTTTGGTATCCTAAATATTCAAATTTAATGGGATGTAAAAAATGCAACTATTATTAATTATTGTTCTATCAGAACGAAATGATAAATCTTCGAGATACAGAGTACATCGAGTGAGACAGACAAGCTTTTCGCGACGAGATAACGCTTTTCCTCTTTCGGCAATACGTTTATATGCGATATTATCGTAGACGTCACGAATCACGAATCAAGATAGAAGATAGTATAATGGAAGTAGCGGATCGAACTTAATACGTCGTATAATAGACGGCCGTGACGACACGATTGAATTATATTTAGAGAAATACGTCAAGAGAGGGAAGGAGAGAAATCGACATTCGAGACGAACGAGATCGACGCACTTTCCACAATGCGGATCATTGTATCGCGAAGTGTTGCGGGGAAAAGGACCGTTGTGCTATCGACACTTGTAAAAACGCGGCAATAGAAAAGCGATAAGAAAGGTGCGTCATATCATATCATCGGGATACCGTGGTATTTAATACAATTAATACAATTGGATGCTGGATATTTATGTGTATCAGGAATTGATTAGTTACAATTAAGCATTAATTATTCGAATCAAAGTATTGTTTCTCTTCTTCGGTGAAAAAATAGATAAGAACGAAATGTAAAGTGTTTCTATGTGAATTTTTATACATGAAACATTTAATATTATTTTATACATTTAATTTTATTGAATATATGAATTTATGAATGTATTATTTGATTCAAATTAAGCACGATAAAAAATAAAAATTTTAAGATAAATAAAACATTAAAATAATTTTTTAAACAGTCATTTCTTTTTTTACAATGTATTATATGTGTTATAATTAAATTTTTATGCTGTTGTGATATACCTCGATTTCTTATGTTAATCATGGTAATGATTGTACGAGGGATTTAAATGACAGAAATGCATATCTCATTATGCGTTATTGCGCGCAAAGTGCATGTTGTGGCTACATGTCGGATCATCGAAAAAATCATTCATCGTTTCGAATACAGTGCAACAGTTGTGCTCTCTCAATATAAGATACTATCATCTATCTGCTACTGCAAATTAGTGAGTGCGTTATAAGTGGACCTTCGATAATATGCGTTAATTCCTTGCAACGCGCGGAATGTTATATAGGGTGTCGTTACTATAAGGAATGTCTGTTTTATTTCGTATTTATACATGTACAAGAATCATACTGGATTTTGTGACATGAATATTTTTTTCGGAGAAATAAAAATCAAGTAACAAAATTGAAACAATATATTAAATATAATAAAAATAACATAATTGATATTTTATAAATAATAAAATAAATAATTTTATAAATTTATAAGTTTTAGAAATAATTCTTAATCACAAAAGCGTATATTTTTCTTGAATAAATATTAATAATAGATAATAATTATAAATATAAATTACAAAACAAATGTTAATCTTTTTGTGATAATAATATAATAAATATAGTATTTTCTAGGACAATAAATTTATAAAAGATAAATTTCAAATTCAAAAATAGGAGATAAATATATCGATTGCGTGTATTTTTTATTTACAGGAACAGAGAAGCTTGAAAGCTGGCGATCTATCGCATCAGGAGAGCAACAATATGGCAGCGTCTACGATAAAACTCCACAGCGATTCGTTTACTTCTGAAAAGGTAAAAGATCGAATATTAATCGTTTTTTTTTTTTTTTTTTGTAAATTAAATCATTATAAAATTTTTGCTTTACATAAAATAATCATTAATTAATTCATATATTTTTACAATCATCAGTAGATTATAGAAAATAAAATAATACAAAAATAATAGTAGAAAATAATAGTAGAAAATAAAATAAAATAATACAAAATAATATACTTATATAATTAAAATTTTATTTAAAATTAATAAAAAAATAATAATTTGAAAAATTCTTTAGTAGATATAAAATATTTCGAAATAATAGATAAGATATATTCGATGATTTTAAATTACTTATTTAATATTTCTTAGATATTGTTGGGGTTCATAAAATTGCAGACTAGCAACTTCAGCAAATTTTACTAATATCATATCCACTTTATATTTGTTGAACGCGATTTTATTTATGAAAATGATCGCGATTGATCTAACAATAAGATCACTATGCGACAATGTGTAATGTGTCGTCGCTTTGCGGAAAAACTCGAGACGCAATTTTCTCGTTTTACATTCGCACTTCTGGCGAATCACCAAGCTTTAAAACATCACACGGGTAGCGACACAGCCTAAATTGTAAATCGTCATCCTTAACGACGGCGGAGAACGCGATTGGGGCGGCTGCGCCGCATTTTGGCACATTTTGGATCGCGTCGGCGTTTAATGCATTTCTTCGCGATACACCGGGCGGTGATTTAAACGCCAGTGAGCTTTGCGGTCGGGCTTCAGTCGAAAAGTGAATTCGCGTGATTCGACAGCGGCTGCGAGAGAAGCGTAATACACTCGTTCGTTCCGGAAAACATTACATTCGTTCGGCAAGATGATGCTGAGGAAGTGCAGCCTCGACTCGCGAATGGTAAATGAACGCCATGTGAGATTGGCACAATTTAAGGGCGTAAAAATGTTTTTTGAGAGGTTGATTGTTTTTATTATTTTTTATGAAATATTTTGTACATTAATCATTATACATATGTGATAGAAAATTTCAAATTCTTTAAATGAACGCGGAAAAATATAAAGAAATCATATTTTGTAATGTTGCAATTATATATTTATAGAATTCTAGAAAATTAATATATAATATTTATATATTATTGATAAAATATATAATTGCGAAATATTAAAACACTCACTTATGGAGAGATATTTATTAGAAATTACTAATTTTTTCAATTGTTTAAATTATTTATTAGAATAATAAAAAATATTAGAAATATTATTTGAAATATATAATTATAAAATATTCATAAAATATTGTAAGCTTTAATAATAGTGTAATAATAGTTAATAATATTTGAGAAATTTATATTGAAAAATCGTAAACTTTTGATTCAAATTTTTATGGATCGAAGGCAAAACGTACACATCTGATATATTGCTACAACATATGTCACTCGTACCGCTTATACTAATTAGCGAGCAATTAGTAAGGCGAGTTTACACTAAGAGAAAAGTTAGAAGTGTTAAGTCATAGAAAAATAAAATACGTAATGTGCGTATTAGTAAACATCAACAACACGAATTACGACATATATAGATATAAGAATATTATTATAAGAAGCAAAAAAATCTTAATAATTAGAAAGAATTATTTGGGATTAAAAGTAAATTGAAAAAATGCATTGTAAGTTTAGCAAAAATTTTTGAATGGACATCTAATATAATCTATAAATTTTATCATATATTATTATATATTTTTACATCATTCAGTAAAAGATATTTAGTATAAATACTCTATTTCTCATCACCATACCATGCTAAACAGCCTGCTAACTTCTGAAGATCATTTTAAAAAATACTTCAAAACATATTTGTAATTTATCCTTCTTAATTACTAAACTCCAACAATATTCCCCAAGACCTTCATGGCAATATTCTTCATGATTTTCCTTAAAATCCGAAAAATTGACAAATGATATTTTCTGCTTCATAGAAAGCGATGGCGGCGCAGCAGCAACGACAAACAGTCACGTCGACCGGCATCTTCAACCACGAGAAACACATGGAGTCAAGCTCGCAGTCAAGCATCACGATCGCGTCCAAGTCTGGTGTGAGCGCATCCAAGATGATCAGCGCAGCGAGTGCGGTGAATCAACTAATGAATGGTATGCGACCACCAACGGCCGAGGACGAGCTACTGTGCCTGCCACTAGACGATCTCGACCTGCTGTGTTCCAAGTCAAATCCGCAGGACGTGGACTGCGCGATCACCAAGTACTGTAGCTTGCTCGACAATTTCGTGGAGCGACTGAAGGCGAACGTCGATGGCTGCAGCAAGAGCAGCAGCGTCAGTTGCGGCAACAAGGCACCCCAGTTGCTAAATAGGGTGAACGAGATCATCCGAAAAGCTTGGGCGGTACCAACGCATGGTCACGAATTGGGCTATACTCTGTGCAACACCCTGAGAATGCGCGGCGGTCTCGATCTCCTAATGTCGAACTGCGTGGCGAACGATCACGAGTTGCAGTTCTCGTCGGCGAGGCTGCTGGAACAATGTCTGACTACGGAGAATCGCGCTCACGTGGTGGAGAACGGCCTGGAGAAGGTGGTGAACGTGGCGTGCGTGTGCACGAAGAACGCCAATTCGGTAGATCACGCGCGCGTCGGCACTGGGATCCTCGAGCACCTGTTCAAGCACAGCGAAGGCACGTGCAGTGATGTGGTCCGGTTGGGCGGTCTGGATGCGGTGCTGTTCGAGTGCCGAAAGAATGACGTGGAGACGCTACGACATTGTGCGGGAGCGCTCGCGAATCTATCATTGTATGGCGGCGCCGAGAATCAGGAGGCGATGATCAAGCGGAAAGTACCGATGTGGCTGTTTCCGCTCGCCTTCCACAACGACGATAATATTAAGTACTATGCCTGTCTGGCGATCGCTGTATTAGTCGCCAACAAGGAGATCGAGGCGGCCGTGCTCAAGTCCGGTACCCTCGACCTCGTCGAGCCGTTTATTACGTCGCACAACCCCTACGAGTTTGCCAAGTCGAACCTGGCGCACGCTCACGGCCAGAGCAAGAACTGGCTGGAGAGGCTCGTACCGGTTTTGAGTTCGAAACGAGAAGAGGCTCGCAATCTAGCGGCCTTCCACTTTTGTATGGAAGCGGGCATCAAGAAGAGGCAGGGCAACACCGAGATATTCCGGACGATCGGCGCGATCGAGCCATTAAAGAAGGTCGCCAGTTGTCCTAACGCAATCGCGTCCAAATATGCGGCTCAGGCATTAAGATTGATCGGTGAAGAAATTCCGCACAAACTCAGCCAACAAGTACCCTTGTGGTCTACCGAGGACGTTCGCGAGTGGGTGAAGCAAATCGGCTTTGCTGAGGTCGCGCCGAACTTTGTGGAGAGTCGAGTGGACGGCGATCTGTTACTGCAGTTGACGGAGGAGAATCTGCGAGAGGACATTGGCCTGACAAACGGTATCATGCGCCGGAGATTCGCTCGAGAGCTGCAGAATCTGAAGAAGATGGCCGACTATAGCAGCCGTGACACTGGTAATTTGAATAGCTTCCTGCAATCAATCGGCCAAGAGTTTTCTATTTATACGTACAGCATGTTAAACGCCGGCGTGGACAAGGATTCGATACGCAATCTCTCGGAGGATCAGTTACTGACCGAATGTGGCATCACCAATAGCATTCACCGACTTAGGATACTCGATGCCATCAAGAACATGCAGCACAATCAATTCAGCTCGTGCGAGTACGAATCGCCAGACAAGTCGCTCGACGTGTTTGTCAGTTATCGCAGATCGAACGGCTCGCAGTTGGCGAGTCTATTGAAAGTGCACCTGCAGCTGCGCGGTTTCTCGGTATTCATTGACGTTGAGAGACTCGAAGCCGGCAAGTTTGACAACAATCTATTGCAGAGCATCAGACAGGCTAAACACTTCCTCCTTGTGCTCACGCCTTCAGCCTTGGAAAGATGTGTACAGGACAGCGAGTGCAAGGATTGGGTTCACAGGGTGAGTCATGATATTCATTATTTTATTTATCTCCTCTTTTGCAGTTATGAAAGATTGGAGAGATTTTATAATCTTTAGTTATATTAAATTTTAATGAGAAAATATATATATTGATTATGTGTTTATTTTTTACTTGGTTAAAAATTCTATATATAAAAAAAAATTTGTTTTATAAATTTACAGTTTTTAAAGAATTTAAAAAAATAAAGAAGATATCTTCCAAAAAATATTTTTAAGAAAAATCTCTAGCTCTAAAAATATTAAATTTAATATTTAATCAAAAATTAAATTAAAATTTAATTAAAAATTAAATATTAAATAATAAATAAATTGCTTTAAAATATATGCTAACTTTATAATGTTCGATTATTTTGCAGGAGATTGTTGCTGCATTGCAATCGCAATGTAACATAATCCCTATCATTGATAACTTTCAATGGCCGGAACCTGAGGAACTTCCCGAGGACATGCGAGCGGTTTGTCACTTTAACGGTGTCCGCTGGATTCACGACTACCAAGATGCCTGCGTAGATAAATTAGAAAGGTAAAATAAAATCAATCTTTTATCTAATCTTTAAATTTTCTTGTACCTATAATTAAAAGAACATGAAACAAGAAAGAAAAAGGCAAGACTCAATTTTCTAAGACAATAGTTAAGACGCTAAAAAATAATCTCCCTTGTTCTAATATAACATATAATTATATTTCTGTTACTATTTAATAATTTTATTCCATTATATCTATAATATTATTCTATCATGTATATAATTTTTTCCTGCATAATTCAATTATACTTTAAAATGTATACAACTATTAAAATAACTCCTATTTTGACTTCTCACAACGTGAAGGTTTATGCGAGGCGAGATACCTGCAAGATCTGAGCTATCCGCCGGAATTCCGCGCAGCATGGCGCCCAAGGACGTAACCCAGCCGAGCACACCGGGCAACACGAATATACGACAGCCGCCTAACTATCAGCGGATGCATAGCAACGAGAGCAGGGGCAGCGATAAAGATTCCACGTGCGGACGAGACTGACTAGATGGCCCGCCCACAGCCATACCGAGCAGGTAGTTATTCCTGATAATGTAACATAGTTCTAATATATTGAGTTTGAGCGAATCGATTTGTCAAAACGTCAGAAAATCTAAAATATTTAAAATCCATTAAACTGGAGCAGCACTAAGTCTGGACTTGGTCACTAACGAAGCTAGGCTGAATGAATTACTACAAATTACATATTTATTAATAAATTCCATTACTAAAAATAATAGAAAGTAACGATAGAATGTTTAAGTAATTGGATTATATAATTAAATTATAAACCGAAAAAAAAAAACGAAAAAAAAAACAAAACTTTTAATATTTTTGAGAATAATTAAAGGAACCAAAGTTTAAATAATTGGAATCAATTTAATTATAATAGATAAAAAGAAGTTTTTATAATAATTTGAATTATTGGATTTTTATTAGTCATTAATGAGTTTACTATTTCGATCTTGAAGCTCTACTAACGCAATATTAATTTTTGTTTTCACGCAGCCGAGATTGCGAATCGCTCTATGACAATCCATGACTAGGTCAGCGATACAAATTCTTTATTAATGTTTAAATGATGTCAATTCGTTATCATCTCGTTGCTTTTGCCAGACCTTTGCATTAAATTATTCCTTGATATCGTTTTAGTACGTTTTCAACCTTAATTGTGTCCTTTTACATGTATGTGCTTGTTGTAAATGTATAGTTTAAGATGGAAGTTTAGGTGGAATCTTGTCTAATCGTATTAAATGTTTACAGTCTATGTGTGAAATCAATATATATAACCTCTTTCTTTCAATAAAATTATGTTTCGCTTACTAAAAATAAGAAGTAATAAATTAAGTAAATAAAATAAAAATAAATAAAATAAAGAAGTAATAAATAAAGTAAATAAAAATAAGTAAAAAATTTATAAAAATAGTTAAATTGAAATTAACTTGAATTCTTAATTTTAATTTTTTAATAACAGATTCTTTGACGGCATTAAAATTTATTAAGAAGATTTTTCAAAAATATATATAATAAATACAAGAATTTTTCTACACATAAACACTATTATTTATGTGGATGTCCAATTGGGATTCAACTTGATACAATTATATTTACAATGTAATTGTGTCAAATAAATCTTCGATATTCAGTATAAGAAAATTTGGAAACAAGTTAAATATAAAATTATTAAAATATAAATTTTTTAAGGAAAGATATAAATATATTAATTTTTTGAATGACTCAATATATCATAGATTTTAACCAAGTAACAAAGATTTAAAATTAATATGAAACTTACACTTTAAAACTTAATTGCAACGAATTTTATTGTAGTTATCAATAAAAATACGCGAAGATATAGCTTCTTATACCTAACATCAAAGAAATTTTAAAACATATATATAAACAGATAAATATATAAAACGCACTGAAAATTTAAGTTTACAACTCGCGTTTTTGCATTTCTAGGCTTAAAAAGTCGTCAAGTCCATCCCGTTGGTTGATGGGCCTACCACCCACATCGCCGCGGTTCAAATTCATGCACGCGCATTCCGGAAATGCCAGTGGTGTTTCGGCAGTACCTCGCAGACCGCCAAGGCAGCCTTCTTCGCCATCGACGCGTTCCCGTTCTTTGGAACTGCTGGATCAGCAGGAACAGGAACGAAAGATGTCGGTCTCCTCTGCGATCGTTCAACGACCACCGCTTCCTAGACCCAGACCGAGGTCACGCAGTCTGGATGGTCTTCTGGATGAAGATGTGAAGAGTGGTGCTGAGGAGTCCTGCGAGAAGCAAAACAAAATGCAGCGTGAGAAAAGTCGATCACTGACAAATCCGGAGGAGGATAAAACCATCTCTGTTTCAAAAGAGAAGCCTAATATTGAAAGTATTGAGTCCAAGGATGAACCAAGGCCGGTTCCTAGAGTGAAATCTAAAATGCCCGACGCTATTGAATTCCAGTCTGAATTGGAGGACCCACAAACGTCTTCGGATAAGAATAAAAACGATAAAGAAATTTTATCAATACGTCCTCCGAAACCGAGTCGGTATTCCAGCTCAGAGCAGTCTTCGACAAGTTCGAGTAAGCACTTTGGAAATCAGGAGCATCAGGTAGAAGAACAAAGAACTGGAGAAACGATACAAGAGAGGCTAATGACGCAAAGTAACAACGAAAAAGACAACTATAATGACGACAAATCAACGATATTGTTGAAAGCATCGAGAAGCTGTGGTGCGGGATTGGATTCTGACGGAAGCATTTCGTCAAATGAATATGGGGGGTCCAGGACTGCGAAAAGCCCGGGTTCGCTGTTATCATTGCCAGCAGGCGCAGAACCTAAGCGCAAACGAAACTTCATGGACAAGTGCGTGAACAAGGTGCGGTCGTTTATGAAGAAGTGAAGCGAAGAGAAACTTCTTGTTATTTAATTCCGCGGACCGTACCGAATATTGGAAATTGAGCGCGCGATATATTATGAAAGATGTCTGAGGGATGAAAATAATGTCTCTATCATCCAACAATTACGCGCGAATTTTAGATATCTAAAAAACCGTTTAAAAAGTTTCCAGAGTCATATTGATAGTTTTAGGACTTTTTAAAAAAATTTAGATATCAAAAAAGTATTTATATAGAAAGAAACGCGAAAGGAAGTTTGAGTTTCTTAAAGTGTTTTAGACATTTCTAGGCTACACTAAATCTTAGATTTAGTTTAAGAAATTAAAAGGCGCATTTTTTAAAAAACTCTATTTAAAGGAAGTTTGGTCGAAGAAGTATATTTTTTGTTTGGAGGTCTTCAGTGTCTTTCAAGTCATTGTTTGCGAAAATTTTCAGCGGTTGTTGCTGTCGGCAATTTCTGAATTTCGCAGCATTGAATAACTTCGCGTATTTACTCTCGCGATGCGAAGATATATTTTGAATTTCATGCGGAATTCGTAATCCGCATTATGTACAATGACAGGCAGCATGAAAGTATATAGCGAAATGTTGTGCCTATACATACGACAAGTGTCTTCATACAAGTCCCAGAATGGGACACATATGTTAATGTGAATTTAGGCTGCTTTTCCAGGTGCCCTTTTGTATTGTATTTTTCTCTCGTTGAATTGTATTGTATACATTATACATATACACTACATTGTGTATGTTAGAAGCAAACGAATCGAGAACGTTTAGCTAAGGCGGCTAGATTGTTATTTGTAATACTATTTTTCTAGACAGTTCTTCTCTATTAGAATCCACGTATGACTCGCATAGTCACGAATTATGGTTGTTCTTGTCGCAGCTAATACCAGAAACATATATACAAGCGTACGGAATGTTCGGTAGTAACTCGTGAACAAGCGACATTCCTTTTTGAAAACTGAGAAGATCTTTAAGAAGTCGATAAATAAAAAGAAATTTTTTTCTTATTAATATTTAATTAAATGTACACCGCGTTGTTTTTTTTGTTGCAGCTCTTAGAATATTTTCGAATTTAAATATCTTGGTAGCTATACTTTGAATTAAGATTCCATTAAAATAGAACCCATCTAAAATTAATTAAAAAAAAAGCTTTACCATCAATTTACACGATTCCTACTTTCCTATTCTAAAATCTCTGTTTTCAATTGATTGTGAATTATTGACATTTTAATATCGTCACCAGAAAAAAAATGGTAAGATGCATTAGCGCAATATACACATTCATTACCGAACATCCGATATAGAATCGTAATCGTTTTTCAAGTCGCGCGATATTTTATTATTTAACATTGTTTTTTTTATCGTATCAATCGCTGATACTCGATTCTCACCGAGAATCGAAATGGCAACGCTTCGATATTCGTAGTTTAAGAGAAATCCGCCTGATTATAGCAAAACTGTATATTTTACCAAAGTTTCGTAAAGTTACGAGTTTTATCGAGATATTTGAATGTTTCGTAAAAATAAATTTTATTTAGCGAAATAATATTTCGCTAAAAATTTTATTTTGCTTCTCTCCAACTCCCTTTTTCGAATGCCTCGAGGAAATATTGCATGAAAAAATCGCGTTCATTGGAAATTGAATTTTTTATTCGTTTTTTTATCAAAAATATCAAACATAGCTTTTATATTAATATAATAAATATGTTTAATTCGTAATACTTTTCATTAGTCATTATGACAATCCTTAAATATAATATGTTCCCAATATTTCAGTGTTTCATATTTTATACTGTCCATTTAATTAATTAAACGTAATAGCATGAAGCAAATTTTCATCTATTAAAATAATATCGTCAAAACTTTACAAGGTTTTATATAATTAGTATGTATCTCTTCTTTTTCATTATTAAAATTTAATTTAATGTTAAAAAATAAAGTTTTTAAAATTCTAATTGTAGAAAAAAAGATACATATATTAAATTTTACCTAAAAAATATAAGATTTTTATCTATTGATAATATCTGAGCGGCCTCTCAATCTGCGCATTAAAACCATATCGTGTCGCATAAGAGTAACCCGTTTGGCGTGCAACGCCAACAGTAATGCATCTTCGAAGAATTGTACGATGTACATCTCTGTTGCCTCTTGTAAGGCTTCGAGGGCAGTAGCTTGTATCCTGTAAATTAGTTCTAATCACATCTACATATCTTTAATCTATCATTTACTGTATGGATTCCATTAAGCATCTATATAATAGTCTTTGTAAATTCTTTTTTTCTTTTTTTATAATTCAATTTAGTAATATCTATAAACTTTAGTATAAAAAAATTAGTATACAGATTTATTATAATATAAAAATATTCTATGAAAATATATATTTTATTATATTTTATATATACTAATATATTATATATATATAATTGAGAAGGATAGAGCATATTCTGCAAAAATATTAACTACAAGAGGTATGTATACATATATATTATAATTTATTACATGTTTCATACATGGAGCGTTCAATGCATATGCATGTAAAAGATAAAATTCTTTTTAATTAATAACACAATTATATCTTCAAATAAAAAAAGATGTAAACTCAAGGAAATCATAGTTAATAAAAAAATGATAAAAACTAATAGAAATTAACTTAATGATCATATAAAAATTAAAAAAAATATTTACTTGTTGATTTCTTGTCTTGGAAATAAGTCCAGCATAATTTGTCTGATTAATCGTGAGAAAGGCAGTCTGGGTATAAGAAAGTGCGTAGTCCTCCTTAGATGCTTAATTTCTTGCAGTACGCGGCTTTTCCTTTTGCGTTTGTTCACTATTACATTTGTCTAAACAATAACAAGCAAATATTAGATGACAGCATTTTAATAGTGACATACTACCTATTTATAATAATTGGGAATATAATTTAATAATTTATATATATACACACAAATGTATATATAATTAATGTAAATGTCATTTACCCTGTTTCTTTCTGTTCCTTCCGCTTCAGATGGAAATGTTCTGAAATAATAAATATGTATTTATATTAAACTATCAAGATATGTAAAATAACAGAAATCAACGCTGATTAATGAACAATAAATTAAATTATTAAATTTTTATCAGACAATACAATACTACAATATTATTAGCAATTAAGTACTTTTAATGTTATATTTATGTTGACTATAGAAAATAATCACAATAAATAAAGGAAATTCTGAAATTAACGAAAACCATAACACACACAGTTAAGATAAGTTTTGCAAATATTAACAATATCGAGGGATATAAACCTGGGTACGGATTTTCGTCGAACCATTATGTGATATCGCGATTATTTTATCAGACACTGCGAACAAGTTCAATCAAAATATTAGATACACGTTTATTAAACAAACAGACTTCTATATGTGTATTATATAGAAGTCTGTGATTAAACATAATAGGCGTCGTCGAGTTGGCGCCAATTTTATGCATAATCTTAACCTTACCATAATCTTAATCTGTAAATACATCCATGAAACAGTCCAAATAACATAGAGAGACAAACCAGAGAGAAGACTGAGATCTAGACTGAGATGTTATGGCCTGCTTTTAAGGCCGCAGCACACACTTTTGCATAAACGCATAACCATAAGTATAAGGAAATTGATTGGTCTCCAAGTATATGCATAAGAAAATGAACCAATCAAATTTCTTATGCTTATGGTTATGCACTTATGCAAAAGTGTGTGCTACGGCCTTTAGGTGATCCTTGAAAGCGATACTCCCTCTATGGACATTGAAAACGTGGATATGAACTACAAAGCCAATGTCCACGAATGTTCTCAGAGGATAACATATTCCTCTAATAATATAAATAATAGAAATAAAAATGTAAATAATAGAAATAAAAATGTAAATAATTTAATTGTAAATATAATAATAATTGATTATATATAAATATAATAATAATTTATTATATAAAAATATTAGTATGTTCTCTCTTTTCACACTATTATTTATTTATTTATTTATTTATGTATTTTCTTTTTCTTTTTCTCAACATCATTTATTTATTTATTTATTTATTTATTTAGTTTGCACTAAGTAAGTCTTTTAAAGTACAAAACTAAATATTGTAAAATTTATTATAAAATTATTATTATTATCATTAAAAGTTTGACTTCAGGAAAGCGCGATAAACCAATCGAATAAATTCAAATCATTAACATAACAAAAGGTTCCGTGATCAATCGTTTAATAATTAATTTAAAATAAAATATACCTTTATAATTTAAAATTCCGCGTCTGTACTTACTGTAGTTATTTAGTTATATTGTTAATAAAAGCTATATATATATATATATATATATATATATATATACATATGTATATATATACATGTATATATATATGTATATATATACTTCTTTTAATATAATATATATATATACTTCTTTTAATATAATATCTCTTAGCAAATTAGACTAAAAAAAGAAGTGATATAATCCTCAAAAACTTACCTTCTTAAAAAAAGGTAAAAAAAGGGCGCCAAGTTTATGAACTAATTATATTCAACTTTCATATTGTCTACAAAAGTAGTGATATAAAAAAATTGTGCCAACTAAGAATAAAAATTTGTACAAGATAAATAGAAGTACAAGGAAGAAAACTTGTACAAGTTAAATAGAAATATTTTAATTGAAAATATTATACAAATATTTTAATTGAAAAAGTTATACAAAATAGTTGTTTTAATTTTCAAAAATAATAATATTAAAAAGTTAAAAATTTATTTAAAAATTGAAAAATAAAAATTAATATAAAACAAGAAAGTAAAAAAAATTTTTAATTAAATTAAATAAAAATTAAATTTTAAATTAAATAAAAATTATAATAAAAATATATAAAAATAATGTTAGCTATATTAAAATGGAACATATGAATTCTTTATATTTTATATAAAGGAAGAGACTTAAAATATATTGCAACATCTATATTTTTCGAATCTTTATAGTTATAAAACTAGTTATAAAAACTTTATAGTTATAAAAACTTCAAAAGAATCAGTGATTAATTTGACAAATTCTACACATGTATTAATAAATTTCTGCTTTATGATATTCACTTGATATTCAAAAAAAGTAATTACACACTAATCAGCATACGATTATACAGCAATTTACGCTTTGTACAACACTCGCGACATTACACCAAGCCTTTTGTCATTTTGCTACGTGATAATAATGCAATATATCTCAAAAAGTTATGACTCACTCGACATTAATTAAAATCAAAATCAAATCGCGCCACTCGCTGTGTAAATAAAACTCGTACAAATTAATAATCACTAATTGTAAAAATTATACAGAACAATCGCGTTTTGAAGGATCGATTCTCGACGAACGATTCGAGTCTTCCCGCGAGAAGTCAAAATTGAGTTCGAACGCGTGACGCGCGTAAAAATAATATATCAATTCGTCATATAACAATTCTTTTAAGAAAATAACCAGTATATTGAAACAGTTTCACCAACTGGTCAATTGATCGGTTTTTATATCAGTAATTAAATCGGTAAAACTGTTTCGATATACTGATTATTTATTTTAAAAGTTTATTCATTGTTGCCGCGATGTTAACGTACGGGATAAACGGAATACATTCGTAAGTTACAATTTTATTATTAATAAATAGTTGATTTGATCATTGCTCTTTGCATTATTCGAAATACTCGATTATACGATTGGAATATAATGAGAATATAATTTCGAAACACGTATTTCGCGTGATGTGTTCATTTAATTAAAAATAGAATCGAATGCAATTAAGAATCGATGTGTGACCGGAATCAAAATTATAAATTATCATTTTGTTGCAATCCTTAGGAACAATAATTATTATTCTTTTAATATTTATAATTAAGAATATTTCGTTGATCGAATGGCAAAATCGAATAATTAACGTAATAGAAAGCCTTGTGATGTATATTAATCGTTTAATAAATAATTAATCTGTGTGTACATGTGTGTGTGATTTTAAAAATATACTTGTATATAAATTCAATTTTCGTATATGTACGTCATAGTACGCGTTAAATATTTCGGCAGCGAGGTCAATAACACGACGTTCGGCCTTGATGACGTAGCGCTGTATTGTTTACATAGGCGAAGACCTTGTATCATTCGCACGGCGATATTCGAGTAGTAAAGTAGTGATACGGAACACTTCGTATTATTGAATTCTTTTTCTAACAGTGCGATCGCGATTAATATCGACATATAATTCGCTACGACTATTACAATTAACAATTAATTAACTCTTAATGAATAACATGAAACTATATGGCGATGATACATCCATCGAAACGCGATCCTTCGTTATTGAAAAATAAAAATTGAAACAAAAGAGCCGGACCCTTAACTCGAAGATGACTCTTGTGTGAAACGGGATTTTCGCTCGTACCGAAACCGGGAGTGCCGTTTAAAGTATATATATATTAAATATATACATCGCGCGACAAAACAGAAAATTTTTAATCATATCGAATAGTGCGGGAGTGTCGTTCAGTATCGCGCGTAAAATAACGAAAATAGCGATATAAAAATATCGCTCGCGAGTGCGGGAGTGTCGTCAAAGTATCGCGCGCCAACAACATGAGAGGAGGAGGAGGCCTGGGAGAGGCATCTTGCATCGGTGGAGCAACCTGATGGTGAATATTTATTATTTGTATATCAATTGTTATAAATCGTACGCATAATAATTGGTTCTTATAATTTAAAGGAATTAAAGAAAAAATTAGAGAGAAAGATTTTTATAAATATGAAAATTTCTATTTAAAAAATAATTTTAAATTTATAAAATCTTCCCATATGTATTTATATCTGCTTATTATTTTACACACCGAATATGAAATTCCGCAGCCTTGTTATAAATGAATTTTATATTTGTATGTTTTAGACGTAGTTTTAATGACAACAATAATATGGATAACGATAACTCCGCTGCTGCACATTAATGCCGTGGTGAGTGATTAAAAACTTTTATTTAATTTTAAGGTAACGGTAGAGATTGTATAGTAGAGATTGTGTAGATAAATCTGTTGCCTTAAAATGGATGAGCTGGTATAGATTAAATAATTTTTAATAAATTCGTTTGAAATGTATTGCATTCATCGCGAAAACATTACAGTATATTATAAAGAAAGAAGATCGAGAAAAGATCACTCTTGTAATTTTATCTAATTTATTGAAAGAACATTAAAAATTCTAACAATTACATCTGATGCTAATTTATTCTTATAACACGTATTTATCTTATTCACTTACCTTATTCTAATTTCTTATAGCTCGTTCATTATAGAATTTGTTGTAGATATTGTTTTTAAGCTTAATGTAAAGCCAAATGATTAATTATTATAATGAAATAACTTGTAATATGATAAGTGTTATACATATATTAATTTTTTTATAAATTTATTATTAATTCGCACATCTGCAATCGAATATTCCAATTATTGTCGATTTATTTAATCGTCGAGTTTTCTCGCGAATTTTAAATCGCAATTTATTTAGTAATTTAATTGTTGATTTCGAAGTATTCTATTCATTTTGAATATTTCCTTTGATAATATACACAAAATGCGCCAGTAATCCAAATACTTTCTTTTACAGTCGAAGAAACGATCAATAATTTTATTAATGATTCTTTTTCTTCTTTCACGATTATTTACGTTATATAAAACTTATTAAATTCTATTGTTGCATATCTATTATTAATAATAAATGTCACGTAATTATCGATAACGCGGCGTTCGACTTTGGCATATAAAATATAAACAGTAGCACGCATTATTTATTAAACAATTTATCACGGACTTTTTCGTTATGTTAATTATTTGCATTTATAATTCGATTGTTTTATTTCGTGTTCTCTCACAATCCAAATTATATTTAGATTGCCAAGAATGCTAAAGTGATACGGGTGAAATATATTTGTGATTCTAAGTGTTAAAATAATAATTATTGTCCGTGAAGATCGCAATCATTAAAGTGATTAATTAATAATATCTTGGATTCCTATTATTTAATCGATTCTCGATTAAATTATAAGAGAGAGAGATTGTAGGATTACGATATAATAATTATTTTAATACTTAGAGTCACAAATATATTTCATCCGTGTCAGTTTATCGTTCTTGACAATCTAAATATAATTTGGATAGTGAAAAAACACGAAGTAAAACAATCGAATTATAGATGCAAATAATTAACATAACGAAAAGATCGTGATAAATTGTTTAATAATAATGAATTTTAATCAATAAATTAAAATACTTCCATAATTTAATATTCCGCGTTAATGTATATTTTATAATATATAAAATATAAAAATATTTCGACAACAAATTATCGATAACGCGGCGTTCGACTTTGGCAAAATAAAGTATAAACAGTAGCGCGCTATATGAAACTGTATCGCAACGATAAATATTTATCGAATCGTC